TTACTCAATAAATGGATAAGCTCCGATCAATTTTAACACATTCGGTTGAAGATCATTTATAACATTAATCATTACAGTTAATTTTTTAAACTTCTAGTATTGGATTAATCGGTACGGAATAATATTATAACTAAAGATATAATCCCCACGTCGGATTTTCATGCCCATAGCAACAAAAGCCAAAAAGGAGAGTAAGTGGCGACCGATAGCAGCAATCAGGCTAACTATAGAAAGTGGTTTTTGACTATAGAAAGTGGTGAATGCGGCCAGGCAGGCAACCTTCTCTTCTTTCTTTCTCTTTTTCTCCCATCGGATACGTATACACCAATACATAACAGACCTGTACAGATCCCTTATTCAAATACTTATCCGCTTCCATTTCCAATTTCCAATTGATGTAAACTGATCATTATAATTCATCTGCACCAACGGATCAATCAACATTCCTCACAAATTTGATCCTACGATTCAAAATTAATAGATCCATCCATCGTGGAATTCTTTAGTTGAGTCGCACAGAAAACAAAAAAATGAAAACAGAACATCTCTCGTTTGATAAGAATATTATTGAAATACAAAACACGCATGAATTGAATAAGGAGCTCAGCTGTAGGGACAGAAACATGAAACCTCTGTTAAGAAATCACGAGATCACACAAATTGGTGAAAATGTCGAATCCTATGAAAAGGTTAATATTTTAGAGAAAGTGTGGTAACGGGTCGCACAAAGATACATTCATACACACCACAGTCCATAGTATATAAGTCTCTAGTTTTAATGCAGATATTATCATTAAATCAACCCTGTAATTGATGAAAAGGGCCTTTGTAGATAAAGAAAGGAATTTATTTTATGCTGAAAGGAAGCATCATACCCCAGACTACCACCTAAAGAAATATTATACCCATCACAGATGTACAACTCTGTAGCCCCAATGCACACGGCATCATGAAATCAAATTTGCCGACTTGAAGTTCTTGCAGTTTCTGTTTATATTCTGGTTGTTGCTGCTCCAAAATTTCATATACTAATCTCCTGATGACAAAAACCAATATGAACAATTGTTACATGAACAATATGATGAAGATTCCAAGTCTATGGAGGTGTGACACCTTCAGGATCCCCTTATTCTCATCCAATCTGGTCGACTTAGATTGTCGAATAAGTAAATGTACTAGAGACTACTAGATGACCAGAAACTTTGACGTCCTAAGAACACATTTTCAAGTACTTGACATGTTTTGGTTATGTTTCAACATCAGCTGCTCCATTGTCAGAGGTGTGAAGAACCAAACTGCCGTGTCGCTGACTCTTGGACACATAAAGTATCTCTTAGTTATCCTAATTGTTGTTCTTTTTTTAGACTGGAACTATAGTCATGCTAAGGAATCCCAAGCAATTCATGAGTTCTGTTACCCTCAGGCTGGACACAGGAGTCACTTAACGCACCTATATGGTGAGTGTTGCCGCTGTACCAGTCATCGATTGTGCCATTTGAAAGTCCATATTCGGAACTGTTAATACTAGTTGATGGAGTTTGAGGTTTGGCTTCAACAGTCTTACGGACACGACGAGAGGACTTGTTGGGCATGTTACCTGACAGTATGTCCCTTGAGTCCCTTCCCCTCCGCTTGTTCCCAAGAAACCCACATGCAAGAGCTTCTAAAGCTTTGGTGGTTGGAGGACGGCTCCTGGTGCTATGCCTCCGAGTGTTGACAGAAGGTTGTCGATCACCAATTGCTCCAACAAGATTCTCCATTGCTCCAGAACCATCATGCTGCTCCTTTGTCTCTGACAACTTCACAGCTTCCTCAAAATTCAAATCATGCTTACTACCACCCACCTCTGAGTTGGAATGCTCACCAGTTTCATAATCCAGTGGAACATTTGGTAGTAGATTTAGATCGATCAGAGTTCGTGATCTAGGCATTTCACTAGAGACATCAAATGTAGCAGCATCACAACAGGATTGTTCCTCAGAATCACACTTGCTGTCTACCTCATCTAGACTAATATTAATTGGAAAGCCAGAAGAGATCTTCCCCTGTGTAATAGTGTTGCTGCTTGCTTCCTGTGCTTCCAACTCGGGTTCAGCACCTTCCCCCATTAGTTGATGACTTTTTGGAAAAGAGTAAGCACGACGACCAGTTCGTTCATACTTGCAGGCAGTCAACTTTCTTCGTTTTGCATTAGGTGCTAAACAAGATTGTTCACCAGATTTTGCCCTGCGACTGAACTGACACTTAATATCTTTTACTGGCAGTTTTTCATTTAACTGCTCAACGCATTGATTCATCAAAATATGCCCATTTGTTGGTAGTTTTGTGCTTGAAAAAGTAATCACATTCTCACGTGAATCAGGGTGCACTGCCTTGCCAATGATGCACTTTCGGCTTACATTCGGCTTCTTATTGTCAGATGAGTCTGGATCAGTATCTCCCTGATCATTTGATGAGCTACCATTTGAATCTTCTGAACTATCACTGACTATCACTCCTGTATCAGTTAAAGGGCCAAGATTGCTAATGGCATCAATGGGTAGAGTCTTGAGTTCTCTCACCTTGAAAGGTCCTTCACCTTGGACCAAACTAGTATCCACAATAGTGAACTTCATAAATTCAGAATTGCAAATGGGAACCTTCGGACGGAGATAGCAGTGATGTTTGCGATCAAGCAGACCATTTTGGTCTAAATTAGTACTCGGGGCACACTCATTTTCATCCTTTGCTGTGCTGCATCCTGTGGCTCCTTCAGTGTCCAACTCCAGAAGCCTGGGGTCTGATGCTACTTTGCTTAGGACATCACTAACAGAATCAAAGTAGTGATTGCCTTTGAGAAGCTTTTTTCTCGAAAATTTCTTTACACCAGGGATAAGAAACACTAATGAATGCTTGGATGCAACAGAATTAATGTCTTTTGGTTGCTCTGAATGCCAACCCCTGGCTAATAGACGAGGCCAAACTGCTTCCCAAAAGAGATCATTTGACTTTGCCTTGCTTAACCTGAAATCACCTGTTAAAAACTTTATGATGTCTCCAGAAGTAAGAGAAGAACATGCTTTGCCAACAGGTATCTCGGGGCGACTAGACAATGATTGATTTGATCTAACTGGATCCAAAATTATGCCAGTAAGGTCATTCTTTTCTTTACCAATTCCAATGGCTTCAACCAGATTTTGCATACCAACTGTTGTCTTTAAAGTGCAAACAAATTCCTCCAAAGAAGTTCTGTCCTCATTAAATATATTTGCAGCCTGAAAAAAAAGAGTTGCAACCTTAAACAGAAAATATCTAAATATAAAAATAACGTGTGAATATCGAAAGCTTGTCTCTGACGATAAACAAATCCATTTTTTTCAACATATAGAAAATCAACATGCAATAAATTAACACCAGCATGAAACAACAGAAATAAAAATACTCTAGACGAGAGCTGGACATAGCAATGTTGCAATGTTTAGCTCCAAGTAGCAACAGGAACAAGCTAAAAACTAAAAATATCTTTTACTTACCAAAGAAAAAAACTAAAAATATGAAAAGGATACTCTAAAAAGTTTTAACAGCCAATCACCTTACACCATTAAAAGGAAGAAAACAATTGCCAGTTTATTGATTATTTAATTAAGAGTTGGTCTCAAGTATTTTCTATAGTCATTTCCAAATCAAGCAATGTAAATCTTGCATAATTATATATTAAGGCAAGGAAAAAAATCAGCACCGATACCGGTCGTTGGCTGAATATATCACAACCATTAAGAAATCGATTCATATAGATAATTTAGAGTTTTAAAATTAAGAAGCATAAATACTGTCTAGATCTACAATAGATATCTACATGGATATAAGTTAGACCCATGTGGATCTAGCCAAGATATATATTGATCTAAGTCAGATTCGTGCAGATATAGTATAGATCAAGGTAAATCTAATCTACATCTACACATACATAAATCAAAATTGTGTTGATTTAGGCCGGATCTACATAGATATAATCTAAATTTACCTGGCTCTAGACCAAACTAGTATAGTCTACCTTAAATCCATACCAAATTTACCATAGATCCACAGTGTTCTTGGCCAGATCCACATGAACGTTGGTCGAATCCAAAGGGATCCAGTTTGCAGATTCCAGGGGATCTTGGCTGGATAAAATTGGATTCAGTCCTGAATTAGATGGATCCGACTTAAACTCAAGAGAATCTAAATTAGATTTTCATACATTTGACTTCATTTGAACAAGAAGTTATTTCTTAAAACTAATTTGATGCATAGCTCAAGTCTAGCTTTAACAAAGTAGACAATGCCAGATTTTCATAGATATAAACTCACTAAAGAAGAAATTAGTTTCCTAATACTAAATTAACACATAGCTCAGATCTGACTTGAACTAAAGTAGATCAATGCTAGATCTACATAGATTCAAGCTCAATTAAACTAGAAATTAGTTTCTTAAAGGTATATTGATGCATAGTGCTACATAAGCCAAGAATGAAGTAAGAAGTCATGAGCAAAAAATAAGCAAACATAAAATCAAAGCTTCATTGGAGGCATTCGAGAAAAGAAAAGAACTAAGCAAAAGGTTCAAATTTTAGCTTTGAATTTACCTTGTTTTGTATAAAAGAACCTACATTTTTCTATGATAGAAACTCGATTTACATCAAATCAACCTTGGATTAGAAAAACAAGTTTGGAGAGTGAGAGATTGAGTGTAAAGTGAACAAAGGAAACAAAGGACTCCTCATGGGTTTTAAATAGGTGGGAGAAGGTACTTGGGTGTAGGTACCAGGCTTTATGCTAACTGCCAAGAACACCTGATACTGTAACCATAATCTACCTAGGTTGGACATTCTTATATAAGCAACTGCCATTTGTAACTCTAGCCTTACACTTGATATAAATCAATCATCCATGACTGCTTATTCTTTTATGTAAAGTGAAGAAAAGGGAAAATAGGACTGGCTACTCATGGATTTAAATGGGTGGGAGAAGGGGCTTGGGTCCAAGTAACAGGTGGCATGCTAACTGCCAAGTATACCTAGGTGTAAAACACCAGATTGGACACCTGATTTTGTATCGATACTTACCTAGCTTGAACATTCTTACATAAACAATTGTTCATGGTTACTCTAGCCTTAGACTTGTTTCAGAAAATCATTCTGTTTTGATCGTTCTTTTACAATATGCCACCTACCAAACTCAAGCCTAATTAACCCTAAGTGTGAGGATTTTAGAAGATAAAAATTAAATTGGAGTATTGGACTACCTGAAAAGGAGCAACCATTTCATGCATGGACAAGTACCAGCTAGTACAAACTGGTCTAGGCAAAATCAAGTTCCTTGGTTCATTTATCTATGCACAAAAGAATAGGATGAGTATTTCTAGTACTACACGTAATAATTTGGTTTTATATGCATCCTCAAGTTAGCAATTTGAGCTTCAATAATCTACTATTAATTTGGAAATACAATCATACAAAAATTTAGAAAAAACCAATATGCTAAGTTGTGAACATTGAGCAATGGAATGATCATGACCATGAACTTTCTGTACCAAAACCATTAAAAGAAAGATATCTTATAAAAAATAAGATGTGGCATGGATACTTTCCAAGAACTAATTTGGTTGGTGTCTGGAATATCAATCATAAAAGAAAATTTATTTATAGAGGAAATTAATGGAAAAATTACAAACAGAAAAAGAGATTTGCATGAGTTGTATTTACATAGAAGTATGTGATAGAGTCATAGAGATTTATATTGATGTGATAAAGGATACGTATGACAAGCATAGTCACTAAGGACTATTTCCTATAGTTTCAGGATTATATCAAGGATTCACATTAGGTCTTCTTTTCACATTGGTGATGAACTCATAATGAATACAAGGTTAGGTCTGCTTTTGACATTAGGTCTACTAGTCATATACAAGTTAAATCCTCATAATGTATGTTATTATGTTGTTAACTTTGTTGAATCTCGTATTTTGATGATGAAACCAATTTATAATTGTGTTTATGTTTTAATCTGCGTTTTAAGTGACGCAAGATGCTTCGATCAGGATGAGACAATTAAAGCAGGAAAAATCATGTTGGGTCGGAGGAACATGTCAGAAGATTGGACGTCGGGCCGGTGGATTGGTCGACGTATCGACAGAAGGTTTCGGGCCGTGGATTCGGGCATCGGGCCAAGAAGAACGGGTATTGCACCAAGGATATCGGAGTTACGGAGTCAACTAGCCGATTGAGCAATAGGCCGCAAGAGAGGACGATGCGCTGAAGAATCGGACGAAGCGTCAAGGGACTAATGACATGCCAAGCAACTTGATTAATGCTTAGTATTAATTGTCTAGATCGAAGTTTGTTTTACATGTGCAGGATTAACTACGATGGCAATAAGACATGCAGCAGGTGTTGCGCCAGAGTCAAGACCAAGATCACGTTGGGAGTTCGAGAGTTCGACGGAAGTCCGGACGGTCGTCAGAGGTTCTGTGGGAACAAATCCGAGAAGTCCAGGAGCTTGCCAAAGAAGCTCGTCGGAACTCGCCAAGAGGATCGTCGCAAATCTAGGAGTTTGCCGGAAGTCCACCGGAGCATCGCCGAGGGTTCGTCAGATGTTCGCCGGAGTTCGCCGGAAGCTCGCCGGAAGAAGCGATTGACGCACCGGAACACGAGTTGCAGTATTAATGTCTCAAATGTCGTAGTTAGCATGAAGATTTAGAAATAGGAGGTGATCCCATTAACTTAATCTGGGGCCAATTGGGCCCTTGACAGACCCAAATTGGGCCGAATGGATCAGCCCATTCGGACCCAGATTTTCTGGCCGATGGTGGCACCGCCTGGGCCGGCAGTGGCACCACCCAGAAGCTTAGTCTTTGAACGAAGTCAAGCGGTGGTACCGCCCCTGTCAGGCGATGGTAACGCCTGAGCTCGGTCTCCGAGCAAAGTCAGGTGGTGGTACCGCCTGAGCTCGATCTTCGAGCAGTGTCAGGTGGTAGTACCGCCCAGTTCTGGCGGTGGTACCGCCAGGACCCCGGAAATCCGAGAATGGACACTTTTGAGCTCCAAATTCAAACCAGTTGGGGCCTATATAAACCCCACCCTTTCAAGAATGAAAGGGCACCGAAAGCTTGCATTTATTCTGAGAATTTGAGAACTTAAAAGTGTTGTAAAAGGCTAGAAGTTCTTCTCCCTCTTTTCTTCTAAGTTTTGATCATTCAAGAGAGGAGCTCCTAAGCCCGTCAAAAGGAGTAAAGCTGTAAAAGGGTGGTTAGCATTCGCCTATTGAAGAAAGGCCTCTAGTGGACGTCGGTGACCTCATCGGAGGAGGAAGCCAAAAGTGGATGTAGGTCAAGATTGACCGAACCACTCTAAATCTCGGTTTGCATTTACATTCTGCTCCTTATCTTAACTGCAAACTGCCTCTGTTGCTTTACATCAACTATACTTCCGTTTACTCTTAAGTTGAAGAACTTTCCGAAACGGTTTTCATCGAAAACGATTTCATCATACGAACGTCGTTTTAATCGACGAAAGTTTTCCGCTATACTAATTCACCCCCTCCCCCCCCCTCTTAGTGCTTTTGATCCCAATAATTAGTATCAGAGCCTTGTTATTTCTCAGTTGGTTTAACACCCAAGAGAAATGGCTCATTTCGGCTTTCAAGAGGGTTACTCTCTCATTCGTCCTCCCTTTTTCAATGGGACGGACTATACTTAATGAAAAACTCGAATGAGAATTTTCTTACTTTCTTTGGATTTGAATTTATGACACATAGTTGAAAACGGACTTGAAATGTCTTCTCTTCCAATGAACTATTGGAATGATTTGGAGAAGAAGACGTTTTCTTTAAATGCAAAGGTTATGAATGCCTTATTTTGTGCCTTAGACAAAAACGAATTTAATCAGGTTTCTTTGTGCGAAACGACTTTCGATATTTGGCGCACTCTTGAAATCACACACGAAGGCACAAGTAGTGTAAAAAATTCTAAAGTAAATCTTTTGATGCACGATTTTGAGATGTTTTATATGGAACCAAGAAAAACTATTTGAGACATGTACACCCGTTTTACGGATGTCGTCAATAGTCTAAAAGCACTTGGTAAAAGTTTTTCGAACTTTGAACTCGTGAACAAGATTTTGCGTTCTCTTTCTAAGAAGTGGGATTCAAAAGTAACAGCTTTACAAGAAACAAAAGATTTAAATAGTTTTCCACTTAAAGAACTTATCGGTACATTGATGCCATATGAAATGGTGCA